TGTGCGATCCATTTACAAGTCATCGTCTTTGAGAAAAATTAAAATCAAAACGAGATAATGCTAACTAAACTACACTCCCCATCGACTTGGCTTAACATTTAGTTTAGTTATATATACTGTAGAAAACCTTACGACCACAAATGATCATAGAACAATTCGTACTTTTGTTATATCTACATTGTTTTACGCTAAATAAATTTAACATTCGCATGCAATTTTAGAAATTTACAGTGGCCAGCATGTTAATCCCCATTTACTGCGGTCCTCAAATTAGGTCCCAAATCTGAGTTCAACTAATAACAACCTCGAATAATAAATCGCAAGAAATCCGCGAAAAAAATCCATTCTAATATTTGGACTCACCCATTCTCCAGAAAAACTCGCTCTCTCATCTTCTTCTTCATCCTCACTCACTTCAAGAAATCTAACAGAGGGGAGAAAAACCTAAACCTAACCCTAGCTTTAATCCAAACCCTAATGGCGCACGAGGACCTCCCGATCCCGATCTTCTCCTCCCTCGCCCCCGTCTACGGCGACGGCTCCTCTCTCGAGGAGGCCGAGCTCCGAATCAAAAACCTAAAATCCAAGTTCGCTGAATTATTCGACGGCGATCAGCCTGATCTTTTCGCTAGATCTCCAGGTTGGAATTTTAACATATTTTTCGTGGTTCTGATTTTGGATCTGATGATGATGGTGATGAGATTGAAGGGAGAGTGAATTTGATCGGCGAGCATATTGATTATGAGGGGTACTCGGTGTTGCCGATGGCGATTCGGCAGGATACGATTGTAGGGATCAAGAAGAGGAGCGATTCGAAGCCGCTGTTGAGAATTGGGAATGTTAATGATAAGTATAGCTTGTGTACCTATCCTGCTGATCCTAATCAGGTACAAAGATTAGTTTTTCTTTTGGAAATATCTTATAAATGTAGTGATTCTCCCAGCATTTGGTTAGAATGAAAGTTACGAATCAATCTCGGGAATGGAGACATGAAAACTTCTATGAGAAATTAAATAAAATACTGACTTGATCTTGTGGGCGATAATAGGTAGAAGCAAATATTGTCCTTGACATTTTATTTGTTACAAATTTTGAAAAGAAAGTTCATAATTTCCCAAATGAGGTTGCTGAATTAGTGATCTGCACGTTTCAAGCTTATTAGTTATTACTATGAGTTTTTCGTGATGTTAGCGTTTGAGATTATGGAAATGACATGATTAGCAGTATCTTTTAAGCTTTGAGTTTTCTGGGAGGTGAGTTAAAATTGTCAACTTGTGAGACAGAATCATATAGAATCTTCTCTTGTGCAGAAATATAATGAATTAGATGATGAATTCAGTAAACAATTTATACTTATCCTTTCTTTTTTATATATCACTAAAAGGAGTCGCACTGTTTTTTTCTTTGTGCATTGCTGCATTGGTCCTCTTCTTTCACTTGGATTGTGCCAAAGTACTTTGAATAGCTAAGTTTGGGTCATGTAACATATATGATAGCTAGCATTGGCTCCTTGATATGTACAATTTTTAGTCATTCATATTGTTTTCTTATAGTTATTTTTATTGATTGATAATTACCATTTTGTTATTTCAGGAAATTGATTTGAAGAATCACAAATGGGGGCATTATTTTATTTGTGGGTAAGGAGTGTTTTAACTGTTGTTATAATGTAATTCTCTGCATCAGATTTACTCAAAAAAACTAGATATCAACAGCAAGTGTAAACTTATTTCGGTAATAATAAATCCTTATCCTGCAGTTACAAGGGATTTTATGAGTTTGCTAAAGCGAAAGGATTCGATCTGGGCGCACCCGTCGGCCTTGATGTAGTTGTTGATGGGATAGTTCCTACAGGTGCCTTCCCTGTCCAATTATCGCTTTCTCTTTGTAATATTGTTTTGTTCTTCCAGAATATGGTAGTTTTATAAATTTTGTTTGAGCACCGTTGTGTCGTGGAACAAATAAAATTTTGGATATTCTTTTTGTCCAGGATCTGGACTCTCAAGCTCAGCAGCATTTGTATGCTCTGCCACAATTGCTATAATGGCTGCTTTTGATGCAAAGTATCCAAAGGTAGTCGTTTTCAAAATCTTATTAAAAAAAGCCATGTGTTTTTGCAATTTTAATGACATAAATTCAATGGCTTAGTTCACATGTGATAATCAGTTCAAGTAGTAGACTTCGTTCATTCTCTTTCCTTCTTTTGTGGGTGATTTTGGATTTTTAATTTGAAGTTGATAAGAGATACTGAAGTAAGTACCATTGGTACTATTTGATTTATCTCTACCTGTTGTACTGTAGGGAACTTTCTTCTGCTTTTGTAACGTGAACATTCCATAAGCTCCTTACTCTTGAGTAGCTGGATCGCTTCTGTATGCCTTCTTGAAGTGATTTTTTCTGAGGAATGGGGAGGATCTTTGATTGCTCCTGAAAGAGAGATTAATAATTATTTTTCCAGTTCACATTCCCTAACCTGTTGAGCTGTCCTGGGTGCACTTTTCATTTTGTAGTCTTTATAGTTTATATTGTATGGTTGGCGATTTATGCACATGCATTAGCTACTGGTCTTTTATTGATAGGAATTTAAATGCTAAGAAGTCCTTGCATTTTAATATTTCTTATTCTGTTTTCTGCAGAAAGAAATTGCTCAACTTACATGTGAATGTGAACGCCACATTGGAACACAGTCTGGCGGGATGGATCAGGTGAAATATTGCATGGCTTATTATTCCTCGTAAGCTTGCATTAATTTCATGAAATGCGTTGATGTAAAAAATAACTCTTATATCCTTACTTCAAACTGTTTTAAAGGTTGTACTTTCTGTCATGTACTAAGCGAGGTCGACACGCTTTGGTTTTATGAAGAGTTGAACTTTTAACCTTCTCTTCTGTAAGCTCTTATTGTTGCAGTCATGTATTCTTCCCCTTAGGTTATATGTTCATTAAATACTAGCTTCTGAAGAAACAAACTCTTTTTCATACTCAAGGCCCTCCTGTATGTTATACTTAATGGAAGTAAAATAATCTTGATCATCACCCTCTTGACAGTGCTCCATTATGATATTCTGCGTCATCTTGTTTAATAGGCTATCTCTATAATGGCCAAAGCTGGATTTGCGGAGCTTATAGATTTCAATCCTATTCGTGCTAGTGACGTAAAACTACCTGCTGGTGGAAGTTTTGTGATTGCTCATTCTCTGGCAGAATCGCAGAAAGCAGTAACTGCTGCAACAAATTATAACAATCGGGTGGTTGAATGCCGCTTGGCTGCTGTAAGTTCCAGCTCTTTTCCTTTCTCTAACGGAGACAAGTTTTCGTTAAAATTTAAACTAAGATTTGATATGTATATTTATAAATCTAAGTTTGCTGAAGGAAATACTATGGACCTAAGTTATTCAACCCTGTTAAATCTCATTCTTTACGGCAGTTGTGATAATATGATAGCGGTATTCATTTTATTTGTCTCTAGGTTATTCAACCCTGTTAAATCTCATTCTTTACAGCAGTTGTGATAATGTGATAGTGGTATTCATTTTTTTTATCACGAAGTGTATGAATCGATGGTACAAAGTTTGTGTGTCAAGGAATATATATGTGGGAGGAAATGATAACACCATAACATATTAAAAAATCAATTTGCTTTTAAGATCAATTTCATAAATCCTTCACTATGTTTCTGCTTAAATGTAAACCCCTACTGATTTTCTGGTATCCGGAGCTTTGGGTGTCCATGTCATTCAATTCTTACTCGTATCTTCCCTGATTAATGGGAAAAAGATACCTTGACACATGGGACGTGGCATGTTCACTTTGATAGGAGATATACAGAATCTGTAAGCAGATGTGTTAAACACTTGACCACCTCCTAAGTTATATTGTAACAATTAACAAGAAAAATTGCATGCTGCCATTTTAACTCATATGAAACAAAGCACATTCTGATGGCTAATCATATATCAAGTGGATCCTTAGGGGCGTCATACGAATGGACTAAATCTTTTATGAACCGCTTGGGGTATTGACCTGTTGTTATACATGTACACTTTCTCATTCTGCTCATAGTTGTTTCCTTTGTTGATTTCTTTTTTTTTTTTGGCTTTCTAGTGTTAATAATATTCATAAAATTTTACAGATTGTTCTTGCAATAAAGTTGGGAATGAGACCGAAAGAGGCTGTTTCCAATGTGAAAACTCTTTCTGATGTTGAGGGATTGTGTGTAACTTTTGCTGGTAAATCTGGATCTACTGACCCCTTTGTGGCAGTTAAGGTATTATAATATTTCTTCTGTTGCTGCTATTATTAATAAAGTTTATGCCGTGGTATTCAGGCCTAGTTCTAGAATTATGATAACTCTTGCCAAATGGCTTAACAAGTCCGAGTTTTAAGAGTGTAATCTTGAATTTGAGTTACCTTGAAGCCACCCAATGTGATCCCTTGAAAATACCAAGTTTAAAGATAATTCCTATTTCCTAACTCTTGCAAAAGGATGGAACCACTCTCTCTACCCTGTCTATCCAAATTCCGAAACTTGCTTACGTTGGCTCTGTCCAACTACCTGTGAACCTCATTCCTGACTCTTGTTACTTCATCTCGCTCAAAACCATAAGTTCTTGTTACGAAACTCAACCTTAGTTTTTCTTTCCATTATGATGTGTCCTACGGAAGGGATCATGCTATTCATTTTGTTATTTCTTTTTACTAAATGAGATAATGTTTTTAAATTCAAGCATATTGGTGTTTGCTTCACTTTGACTACCATTTTTAGAGCCTTTTCTTAACAATATGGTTTCCTTTAGGCTTCGTTTGGTACATGGGAAAATTGGTGGGAATGGAATGCTCATTCCCACTTCTCATTCAAGCATATCAAACATGACACATTTTTTGAACCTAGAATGCCTATTCCTACTTCTCCTTCATTCCCACTTTTTGTGGGAATGAGCATACGCAATGGCTTGGTAGGGACTGGGCTTTCCCACTTAATTGGGAGTGAAATAATTAAATTAAATATCAATTGTGCCATGATTTCTTATTAATTACCCAAGCCAAAAAATAAAATGACTTCATTCTCACTTCATTATCTAATTGCACCCAAACATGAGAATGAAAATGAGCATTCCATTCCCAAACTCATTCCATTCCATTCCTTGCTTCATTTCATTCTCACTTGATTCGGTTCCCCCTACCAAATGTGGCATTATAGTTACATTAAATGGTTCTTAAATTTATATGAGAACTTCCACAGTCACATATACAATTATGATGAGTTATCAGGATCTAATCAGATACTTTACTAGTTATGACAGCAGTTTATTTGATAAGATAATTTACTGGAGCATAATTTACTTTTCAATTAATTTAATGTCCTAAAAGATTTCTTGTGTACATTGAAGCTATGTTGTTTCCTATATACTAAATCATATGATGAACAGTGTATATAAGTTAATAAATACAAGCAAAAGTAATAAAAGCAGGTTTCTTCCCATTTTGTTTTTATCTTTTAATAGATTTGATTATTGATAGAATGCCAGTTAACTTTGTTACAATGAGCTTTGAAGTTGTTAATATGCAATGCTGTCCAAAATTCATTTTTGTACTTGCATGTTGTCTTTTCGTAGTTCCATTAAGTCTTCTTCTTATCATGACACAGGAGTTCTTGCATGAGGAGCCTTATACTGCAGAGGATATTGAGAAAATCACTGAAGAAAGTCTTACCTCTATATTCACGAATTCTGCTTCTTCATTGGACGTATTAAGAGCTGCTAAGCACTTTAAGCTGTTTCAGGTAGCTTTAATTCCAACAATTGTGTCTGCTTCACTTCTCGGCATTTTGGTGTTTAAAACCTTGACTGCTTGTAATTTAAACTAGATAAAGAAGTCTTCATTTTTATCCATGTGGCAGTGTATATGTCATGAAAATTAAATTACATGAAATCAAGGTGCAAAAACATGCAAAATAGATGTAAACTACAACTTGATTACCAATTCTCATTTTGTTGTTTGACTTAGAGTCTCAAGAGGTCAGGTCTACAAAATCAGGCGCTAGATCTTTAGCTTGCCGTTCTTTAGTAAGAAAAGGGTTCATGGCATTGGTAAAACTATATAAAATAGTTTGTGGATTTCAACAAAAACCAAACTTATGGGAGGTACTATTACTGAATTTGTTAGAAAGGTGAAAAGTTACAAGTCTGCAGGTACGATGCATGTCACAATTTGGGTTATCAATGCAAGGTTTATTTGTATACGTTATCATGAAAGTCAATTATGAAAAGTGTGATATCGGTTTAGATTGCTTATTGGGAATTGCGGACTAGGTTATCTTGGCTCTTGTATCCATATTCGTATCGGACACTCCTTAGACACTTCTTGAGTATATGCATAGATATATGCAGGCATGTGCCCAATTATACAATACATGTTTTAGTTTAAAACGTCCGTTGTACACTTATTGGACATATATCTTACACTTCACATCATATTTCTACAACTTCTTGGACTCTGATCGGGGTCATTTCAGCCCATATAATGTTCGTAAGTACGATTTTAAACGATAGTTTGGATATCTACTCCAAAAGCGTGCAGTTTTTAAATTATAATCTACTCAATAAAAGAAACATAAATAAGTTATACGGACTTCAGTTCTTATAATATGTAATAAAAAAAAATATTGATCTCATATATATTATTAATTTCAATGCGGGCGTGCGTGTGCGCGCATGCGTGCGGGCGTGCGTGTGCGTGTGTGCTTACGAATCATGGAGGTTCAAACCTTAAATAAAATTACACATACTCTAGTTTGTCTTTGTAGTGGCACGAAACTACAGGGGTGGTAATACGTTGAGTTTTTTGATATTGCAAACAGCGTGCTTCCCATGTATACTCTGAAGCCAGGCGTGTTCATGATTTCAGAAATGCCGTCTTATCAAACAGCAGGTACATTTGTATTCCCTTGATTCAGCTGCATCTTTCATGTACTGATCTTCTTCTTGGTTGGCAAGCCCTCATATCAGATACTTTGTTATTGATGCAAGATATATGGTGACACTAGTATTTGGAGTTCAAAGTGTTTGGGACTGCTGATGCATATTTGTGCCTGTCAATGTTTTAATTATATATCTATGGAGTAGTCCATTGTAAATCATTCTAAGTTGCAGAATTTAAATTCTGAGTAGTAACATATGATTGTTTATTTAATTTCGTCAGAGCAGAAGTATTGTTATCAAGTGCTTCATCAGAGCAAAATTAGTAAAATTATCTCTTTGTGATCAATGAGTAAGCTGCTTTTCATTATAGTTCATTTCAACATTAAACTATGGTGTCAGCAAAAGCAAGTTCCATCAACAAAATGAAACCATAAACATAATCACTTAATTATGTATTGAAACTTGCCTGAGAGATCATAGGCTAGTTAAAGTGTTATTACATTTGCACGTCTTATTTTAACAAAAAGGTCGGTAGTTTCTAAAGTGTCAGTTTTTGCAGTGATGAAGACATTCTTAAGAGACTCGGTGATCTGATGAATGACAGTCATTATAGCTGCAGTGTTCTGTATGAGTGCAGGTAAGTTCTCTGGTTCTGTTGCGAAGACCATTGCTTGTGGATTCATGTCTTTAAGTGCACATCACAGTGAAGCTGGAGTTTATATATAGTGCCTGAAAATGTTGCACCTAGTTGAATAAGTTTCATTACCTCATTCTAAGCTTTTAGCGAGCTGCATTCACGAAAAAGAGGATTCTATTTAAATTGGGTTTTTTATATTAGTCCTTTAAATCTTCCATATTTTGCAGGTAGTCCCTCAAAATTTCTAGTTGTTTTGAAATTAAGTCATTGAAATTGCTATTGGATCCCCCAATTCCTATAAGTTGTTTCAAATTCATCCCTAATTCCTACTTCTACTCTCTTGATTGGAGGGAGTAATTTCAAAAATATGAAAGATTTAAGGGAATATATTGAGAAAAACTATATAAAATACTTGAGAGAACCGTTTAATATACTTAATGTTGTTAACCTTAATGTTGTTAATCTTAAGATGACCGGCTATGTTTAACTGTGACTGTTATGTTGCTTTCGCATGTGTTTTCTCTAGTTGCCCGGAGTTGGAAGAGCTTGTGAAAGTTTGTCGAGACAATGGAGCACTTGGAGCGAGACTTACCGGTGCTGGTTGGGGTGGCTGTGCAGTTGCTTTAGTTAAAGAAAGTATCGTCCCTCAGTTCATTCTCAATTTAAAGGTCAGTTATTTGCCACTGCTTGTAATTTGATCCTAGAATCGTATTAATATTCTCTAGGGTTAATTGCACATAGACCCTTTGTAGTATCGTCGATTTGAACTAACCACCCCCCTAGCTCATTGTTCATTAAAATCATGAGTTCTCTCATAGAAAACATGACACTTCAAACTTGTGCTGCTGTGCAACTCAAATCTATTTAACTATTGCAGGAGTCATTCTACCAGTCTAGGATTGAGAAGGGTATCATCAACAAGAATGATCTCGGTCTTTATGTCTTTGCCTCCAAGCCTTCGAACGGCGCTGCAATACTCAAGCTTTAAGTTGAATTCTTTTCAAGCATGATTGCCTCTATTTGATCCTAGCCTCGGGAATGAGAGAACATTTTTTTTTCTAATAAAAGTGTTTTCTGAAAAAATTATCGTTAAGCTTTTACCTATAGTTTTTGTACAGATAATAATAGAAACCATGTTACATTTGACTGTAGATAATTAACATGGGTTGGACGCAATAATTCAGTAAGATATGAAATTGCTGTGGATTCCTGTAGGAATATAATTAACAGGGTGGATTGATTTTGTTTTTCCTTTCCCAATTTTATTTTTACTTTTTGCTGTTCATTTTTTGAAAAATTTTCTTACGTGCTTCATAAATTTCTTGTTTATGAGTTGGCTTTGAACGTGTGCGATCATAACTACGGATCTCCAGGAGTGTTTTCACAATTTCATTTTTTTAATGTATATTATTAGCTAAAGTCACAGATTAAATGGTAATTACCTTTTGGGAATAAATTTATGAATTTGGATCATTATCTTCCCTGTACATTAACTAAAGTAAAAGTTAAGTTGAAAAACTAAGGAGAAAGGGGCGGGAGATTCTTGGATGACGAAGTCGGATGAAGTCAATGATCAACGTTCAAGAAGTGATGTCACCAAGGGAAACTTACATATATTTTGTGAATAGGAAGTTTAGATCTTCTACTCTTTGAATTGAATATTTGAAAATACAGCAAAATATTACATGAAATTTTGGAAATGTAATATATGTATATCTATACGCATATGTATGTATGTGTATATATATATATATATATATATATATATAATTCTAATATATATATATATATACAAATATCAATTAACTATCACCATGTGAGTTTGGTCTACAGAAGTACCACTTAGATGCTTACTAATTAAGCAAGAAAATAAGAACACCAAACACGATAGCCATAGACAACTCTAGTTCAAAGCAAAGATTTGGAAATTTTAAAAAAGATTTGGGCATAAAAATGAGAGACCTATCACCTAGACTAGGGTTCACAACACACTGATTACAGCAAAATGTCTGTAACTATTGTTTCAACAAGATTATTACAGCGCAAAGTTTATTAAAACGACAAAGATCATTCCGGCAAATAAAGCTTTGAGAATTCCAGTTTAAAGCAAAAAAAGAAGTTCAACCCATCCTCGCTCGGTTCTCAGCAGCAATCACAGCTCTATCCTGCTGCCTCAGCCTCTCACCCTCTCGGCACAGATATCCCTCAAACTTCTCCTGCAAAGTACATCGAGAATGTAAGGGCATAATTTATTTCATTTTACCCAAAAAGTTCCCTGGTAGGTAGGACACCCTGCATTGGCTGATGAGTGATGAGAGCAAATTCGTCTAATTCCAAATAACCTATAAAAGCTTACTTATGATCTAATAGGATGGAAGAGTGCTAGAGTGATTTTGACGTATTGCATGTGTCTTGAGACATTGACTTTCCTCCTGTGGTGTGTTATACGTTTGGTGTGTATTGGTCTTTTCTTGAAAAGTAATGTAATCAACTTGGTGTGTATTGGTCTTTTCTTGAGAAGTAATGTAATAGTCAGTGTTATCAATGCATGATGTGCAATGCAGGGCGCAGAGTCCCTTTGCCAGTATATGCGCAAAGCACAATGCACTGTACACGCCTGGGTGAAGCTAGGCACACGTTGCGCGCATAATTTTTCGAGACAGAAACTCAAGCATGAAAGAACCAAGTTTATGAATTTTCCCTTAAAACAATATATCAAGATAAATAACCTATACGACCAGATCACAAAATAAAGTCTTGATTCATAATGCTAACACAACGAACATAATAGTAAAGTTCATAATTTTCAGAATCAAAAGTCAAATCAAGACTTATCGAAGAGAAATCAAATTGTTAATGAGGACGAGTTAAGATTCTCAATCAGACTTCTGAAATGGCCTCATGGGTTTATTTTTCTTTTTGGGTTATAGTTATCGGGTATAAAGACCCCTTGAAATGTTAAAGAACAAAAATATACGAGGCTATCTTATGTTTGTCATGTGCAAAGCACTCTCGCGTAGGGCACTTGAGAGGCGTAAAAATGTGCTTCCGCCTTAGATGCCGGGCGCTTTGCCAGTGCCCCGCATCGGAATGTGCATGAAGCGCAATGAGGTGCGCACCTTTGATAACACTGGTAATAGTTAGTATTATATTTTGTTATTGCTCGTGTACTGTTTAGTTCTTGATAGCTGAGTAGGTTTACAGTATAGTAGCATGATATCGTTACTAGTATAGTCCAATAATTCCTTCCTGTGTTCTAGTTCAACTTATGTCTTGCATTTCATGTTGTCACTTTATCTTCCTTTGCTTCATGTGTTCCTTTGGTGGCACCTGTTGGATTGCTCTGACAATCCTGATTTGTTTAGTCACAGCTAGCGTGGATGGTGAAGGGCTCGGGGGCAAATCAGCACATGTATGTTGTAGGAATATCGCTTTAATAATAAGAGGCTAATAGAAATGATTCGGGGTAGCCACAACTTGAGAAAATCGTACTATAATCCGCAACTAAAATGAGCATTTCGTTATCGTACTATAACCCGCAACTAAAATTGCAAGTGAGAAAATCGTCTTTTCCTATAGTGCCAATTACGCCCCTTGGTTATCCCATAAGTATTTTCTAAAAAAAAGGCTAAATAACTGATGCGCTCATAAACGAATAGTCTCTATATGCTCTCATATATATGTGCAATGCACATCTGCAAAGATAAATTTCTTTTAATGGTCCAAGTGATAACGAAACAGGTAAAAGGAACAGGAAGAGAAAACTGAAAATAGTAGGTGCCATTGTCATCATGAGTTTTTTCAAGTGAAAGTAACGACTATCCAAGAAAAGAAAGGGGAAAGCTTTTGAGGATTAACTGAATTCTTTTATCGATGACAAAATTAAACTATATTTTCCAGATGAAAATACTATTGCACACTAGCACATCAACATAAAAACTCTCCCAAGTACAAGCCTTTCCAATCTTGGACCTTCCCAAACCATACCCACTCAAACATTCACCAGTTAACAACACTCACTACAACACTCACTACATTACACAACTAAACTCTACTTATTGATATTATCTATTTCGTATCAAAATTCTAGAGAATGCTTCTGAGTTCTCAACATTTATTCATTGTTCATCTCCACTTTCTTCTAACTCTCGGTTACCATTTCTATCCTCCACTCATTTCTAACTTTTGATTTAGACCCAACAAACAAACAAGAAAATACATACAATTACTGTTACTTTATCTGTTTACAAGTCCAAGGATCTATTCTTGTTTTGTTTCTTCAACAATGTTTACGCCTCGTTTGGTACGCGGGAATGGACTCAAATGAGAATGGAATGAAAGAGGGAATAGAATGGACTTAATGTGGGAATGGAATAGTCATTCTCATTCTCACGTTTGGGTGTAATTTATAAAATAAAGTGGGAATAGACGTATTTTAAAATTGTATATTTTATTGATTCTCATTTAAGTGGGAATGCCCATTCCCTATCATTTCATTGGGAATGCTCATTCCCACATAAAGTGGGAATTGATAAGAAGTGAGAATGATCATTCCAACTTCAAAAAAGAGGATGTGTTTGGTAGGAAGGAATGAGAAGTGGGAATGACCATTCCATTCCACCCCATTCCCGCGTATCAAACGAGGCGAGTTTATTTTTGTTGAAAATGATTATTCAAAGCCAATATAACTGTCTATAGAAATTTGGGCTTGTAACAGATTTTCAACAATGATTTTCAAAGCCAAAATGATTCTTCAACAATGATCTATTCTCAACATTTTCAATTACATTAACAGAAATTTGGTTAAAAAATCTGAAAATGGGAGGTCAAGATGTTTATAGAAGTTCTATATATAGACGCAGTCATAATCAATTATAACAGATTCCCCATTTCCAATAGAAAGATTTTGGGCTCAAGTCCAATATTTAGAGATTTGAACTTAAAGATCGCAACTTTCTGCATTGAATCTATCAGAACTCGAATATTCATTCTTAAATCGACCAATAATAACATATAGATAGATTTTGCCCCCAAAAAGTTGCAAATTTTAGAGTACCTTGCCGCCGAAGAGGAAGAATTGGGCGAGGGCGACGCTGCCGACGCCACCCCAGATCACCATCGTCGATGTCAGCAGCGACCAATTTCTGTAGATCATCTCTCTTCCTTTTTTTTTTTCCTTTTCTCGGTTTAATCTTTTTTCAGTTGAGGATGACATAAAAGAGAGCATAGGATGCGTTTATGCATATATGCCCAGCTACAATTATATATTTGCAAAGAACTTTAGCGTTATTTGCATATACCCCTTACATCATCAGTATTTGCGACAATATCCTCTACGCTTACTATTTGCAAAACTACTTTTCAATTCATCAAATTTGGGAAAAAAATACCCACAAAATAATTAATCATCAACTTTGATAAGTTAATTTGTAATAACAATGTAAGAATTATCAATAAACTAGTCAAATTTTTTAGAAGCAAGTTGATGATTTGTTGGGTTTTAAGAGTGTTTTTTTCATACTAAGAATTGGGGGTTATTTTTGTAAATATCCATAAGTTAAGGAGTATATATGCAAATAACCCCAAAAATTAACCCTCCGAATGGACTATAACAATATTGACCATTCTTATTAATTTCTTCTCCTTAACTCTTCGGCAAACCTGGGGGAGGGGGGAGGTTTGAAGGGAACAATTGAAATCTTCAATCGGTCCTCTAACCTTGCCGTGTACAACTAAGAACATTATTCTCATATTCGAGAGTGTTCTAATAAAAATTATACTCTTGCACTTGTCATCTTTAATAAGTATTATTTACAGGGAGTTTAAAATTAGCTTTAAGGTAAAAAGTGCAATTCTTAGAGTGAAACTTTTATTGTCATGAAAAGCTAAAAGGTGCATCATACATCTCGATTTATATTTAATTTTTTTTCATGGCAGTTTATTATGATTATTTTAAGACGGCAAATTTCAAGTATATAGGTCTTTCTATCGGACACATGACAGGGGAAAAAACAACTAAAAAGAGACAATTCCTAGACATGATAAAGTCTTCAAATAATGAAATAGGATCATAGTTTGCACCAGTGTAGTTGTTTTTTCTTTTTCTTAATATTTATTTAGGATCTAGGAACAAAAAAAAGGAAAAAAAAAGAAAAAAAAGAGACATTACCAGCAGTTATAACAAATTGCAATAAAACTAAGGTCCTAACTCATGTTAGTGCCTTATATTCTAAGATTGAATTTTCGTCTAAACTACTGACTTTGTCTGGCCTCGTGATTAGCCATGATAGTTGTTACCATTTTCATCATCACTAAATGTGTGATCGTAAAGAAAAATGTCTATAGGATGGTTATAAGATTAATAACGGTTTATGGATTAGTGTGTTGGACAATTAAATAATAATATATGTAAAAAACGAGTATAACATAAATGAGAATGCTATGTTGGTCTTGTAGGTATATGCTAAAAGAGGAGATAAGAAATGACTGCAACCGCTGTAAATAAGAGGTTGCTCCTATTGAGAATAAAATACAAAAAATCTAGTAAGGTGATTTGATTATGTACAACGAAGATCTTTTAATACATCAGTTAGAAAATGTGATAATATTATAGTTAACGTGACAAAAAGATGTAAATGTTGACCTAAAAGAACTTGGTTAGAAATAATTCAGAAGGATGTGATAGTTGTTAACTTATACGGGGATATGACCTAAAAATAGAACGTAATAAAAGAGTATGATTCATGTAGTAATAAAAGAGTATGATTCATGTAGTTGACCCTAAAAGTTTGGGATGATGACTTTTTTAATGTTAGTTTTACTTTAAATGCATGCTAGGAGTAGAACGGTGCAAGAAAAGATATTCTAATGAGTACGAGTCTTCGGTAGTTTTCAGGAGTAATTGAGTTTCCTTAAACATTGATATATGAGACATGATCTATATTAAACACAAAATATAATTGTCATTCCATTATCACAAAAAATACTGTCCCCAAATCAAAAGTTGACTTGAAAGGTATACTCTCTTCAAAGAAGAAATTTTCAAAATAGCTTCAAACCACTTTGTTTTGAAATAAACCTTATCTCGTTTTTGTTACAAAAATAGACTCACTTTCTGGTCACGTTAGTACCGTGGCCAGAACGTGGGTCTAATTTTTTTAAACACCTTTCTAATTAGTCGGGGTTGTCAACCCTGACTAATTTAGACTTGCAATTTGCCAACCAAATTAGTCGGGGTTGGCAACCCCGACTAATTAGGAAGACATTTAAAAAAAAATAGACCCACTTTATAGTCACAGTGCTGATGTGGCCAGAACATGAGTCCATTTCTATAATTAAAACGTAAGAAGGTCGATTTTCTTTTTTAAAAAAATTGGTTTGGGGTTATTTTAAAAATTTCTTCTCTCCTCAAATCTAATGATAGCATACTAAATAGCATACTAGAGGGACTAATTTAAAGCAATATATAAGATTTACGGAAATTATTAGCAATTTTTGAGATTCGAGGAACTAATTATAAAGTTGATATTTTCCTATTCGGGGTAAATTTGCAATTACTTTCGTTTTATGAGAGCTTTTATAAACACATGGTTTAAGGGGGTATATATGCGAAATACCCAAATATTCAACCGACCTAATATACAAAAAAAAAAAAAAACCATAAATAAATCCTCCCCCTTCTCCACAAAACAAAATTAGGGTTTTCAACCTCAACCTCGAGAACCTTCGATTCCCGACCCCCAAACCCTAATCCCCTCCATAAATACCCCGCCTCCGTCAATCTCCCCCAAATCCCGAACCCTAGAATCCCCCGAAACCCTAACCTCCCAATGTCAACAGAGCGCAAGCGAAAGGTAAGCCTCTTCGACGTCGTCGACGAGACCTCGGTCTCCGCCAAGATCGCCAAAACCAACGGCTCCAATTTCTCCGGCAAGGTCTCGTACCCGGCATCGATAAACCGATGGAGCGGCCGCCCGTACTCCGCTCGGTACTTCGAGATCCTCGAGAAGAGGAGGACGCTGCCGGTTTGGCAGCAGAAAGAGGAGTTCTTGCAGGTTGTCAGGAAGAATCAGACCCTTGTTCTTGTTGGTGAGACTGGTAGTGGAAAGACCACGCAGGTTAGGGTTTTGAAATTTTGATTGTTTGGTTTGTTGTTGTTGGATTAGTTTTTGAAAACTTGATTTGATTCTATCTTATTGTACGATTGAACGAGTAAAGATTACTTTTTAAAATATTTTCTTAATGATTTTGAGTGGTATAGACGTTCAAATTAGAGTTAGGGTTCTAGATTACTTTTTAAAATATTTTCTTAATGATTTTGAGTGGTATAGACGTTCAAATTAGAGTTAGGGTTCTAAGTTTATGTTTCAATGATGTTGCACGTGATTTTGAGTGGTATAGACGTTCAAATTAGAGTTAGGGTTCTAAGTTTATGTTTCAATGATGTTGCACGTGTATTGTGGTAATTTGTTGGAATTGCATGATTGGAGTAGTAAAGATAAGGGTTAGGATTTTGAAATTTAGTATTAATTATAAGGATGTTGTGCAAGAATGCCGTTGTAGTACTGTGATTTAAATAAATACGTATGAACATACATCTATATCTATAAACACCATGAAAATAATTGCCACTGGAAAAAAATCTGTACATAACTGTTTTCCTATAATAGCCAGCAATGACTGATGGCGCCATTTAATCAAATAATATATACTTTGTCTTGATAAAAGTTGAACCTTTAAAAGATATATGTACACACGTCACGTATGCCTAAATATATAATGCATGCACATATATATACATGTATACAAACATTCGTGCACATATATCTTTTAAACTTGGTTGTATTTGGAATTTCACGGGAAAGGGACCTAGTCTTCATTATCAATGAATAATAGTTTTTGGTGGCTTGATGGCAGTTAGAGAAAGAAACATCAAAATGAAAACTTTAATATCACTACGATGTATCTTAATTACCTTTTGGACGATATAAATATGTAATATTTTATTTTGTATATTCAGCTTGCAGATGCCTACAAACTTGATGTGAAATGAAAATTTTAATAACGCAACAATACATATTGTTTTTATTTTCGCCAAGCCAAATTACATCTATAATATATTAATTTGTATGTTTATTCAACTTGCAGATGTCTAAAAACATTAACAGGAGGTTATTCGAAGCTAACCCCAGTCAAGACCAATCCACCGAGGAAAAGGAACTGAGTTCAGGAGAGATGTCAGGTATATCTTAGTTTAACTTAAGTATTTTTATTCATGATATATGCACAATGATAATTTACTTCTTTTAGGTGAGGGTGAGGAAGAGCCCATTACCGTACCATTATATGCAGATCCTCCAGTGCTACTTTGAGCATATATTCCCGGGATTGAGCGCAGGCCTTTACCAGCATGTGCAGAGGGGTACAGACTCAAGCATACAGAAAAATACATGCTTGCAAAAAAACGATTGGATGAATGGGGCCCGCAGATTAATGAGATTTTATCTGATGCAAAAAATGAAATCAGACAAAGATTTGGTGAGTTAGATCAAAAAATTTCATTCTGGGTCTATTATTTTCTGGGTCTATTATTTAGTGATGGGTGCCTTGATTCTGTGTATTACTTGGATGATTAATCTTAGAACAACTCAGCTGAATTAATGCTTGCAAGTGGCGTTAAGATTAAACATATATCTAATGTTTGAAAAAGTGTATAATTTTTGAACTTTTTCCTTTGCATTTATATTCTGATTAAATAGAAGGTAATGAAATTCTAACTTAGGAAAAGTCCCCATACAAAATGAACAGATAAGGCCTTGTCTATCAAAAGGCCATTATTTCAAAATTTGACAGAACCTTTCTATGAAGTCAATGTTTTTTCAAATTTCTCAATGAGAGGTAACCAGTCCTCTGATAGGAAAAGTCCCCTCCACATAGTTCATGCACACAACAAATTGATGTTATAAAACAATGTTATCTTCTAGTAAAAAAATGGAGCTTTTGGCAAGCTTTATGTTAAGCCGTGAAAGCTAATTCATACCCATACAGAAGAATCTTAAGAATCACTAAGCTGAGCCTCAACTGTTAGATTAATCATGCGTGTAATTACTTATACTCAATCCATTTGTCACAATCCATTTGTCACAATCCATATGTATTGATATATCTATTATTTTTTTCTTTGTTGTAGGCGAAATTTTTCAATTCTGTCAATTATTGTCCATGCTTAACTATATTTTAATTTTTAGAGATATTTCAACATTGAAGACAATCCCGTAGGGTGGGAATTTTTATTTGGATACCAGGGAAAGTTCAAGCATTCTCTTCGGGAGTGGAGACATGAGATAAAGAAGAAATGCTTTGATTGTTTCACTCACAACTGGGAGAGGATATACAAGCGAGATAAGAGGGTTGAGCCTGAGCACTTAGCTGCACTTATAATATTGTGGGGCCAAGAGGAGCACCAGGTAAATATGTATAGTAGTTAATTATCATCAAGTTATTTATCTGAAACTAGTGATATATTTCATTGTATATTATAGCTTGTACTAAACTTCTCTTTGTTCATGTTGAAGAAAAAATGTCAGAGAAATAAACAAAATCGATGGAAGAAAGATTATGATCATCATACGGGGACTACTTTATTTGCCCAGATTGAGGATCAATTTTGTAGGACAATGGTAAATAAAGTCTTTTCATCTTCTATATATATTCTCTCTGCTTCATAGAATATTTGATAAATATAACTAATAAATATATTTTTAAATCTCAGAACGCTCCCTTTATCCCGTTACCAGAACTGCACAGGAGGACGATGGTTCAATTTAAGAAGGGGTACGATGACGATGAGAGTAGGAAACAAAAGCTAGAATTGGCCAAGAAAATGCAGGTTAACTAATTATCGTCTGTTTTTTTTGTTGGGAATTTATTGTTTGCACTCGTCTTTTTGGTCATCTTAATTATCATACATGAATTGCGCAGTTGAAAGGCTTCAGGGTACCAGTTTTCCTTTTATTCACATGCATCTTGCATGATTGCCTGGTATCATATTTTATGGTCAAGTGGAATTGCATGATTGGAGTAGTAAAGATAAGGGTTAGGATTTTGAAATTTAGTATTATAAGGATGTTGTGCTAGAATGTCGTTGTAGTACTGTGATTTAATAAATACGTATGAACATACATCTATATCTATAAACACCATGAAAATAATTGCCACTGGAAAAAAAATTGGGCAATTTGTAGACACTTTGAAGTTTTGAATAAGGATGAATGCCAAACCTATTTGTTGAGTCAGGGGAATTACACAATTTTAATTGATTGGTTCGATTTAAAGTGAGATCTCAATGTAATTCATTGGTCCCATTGTTGCTTTGGACTAGTTGTTTCCTGTATATTTTTTTGGGCATATCGTATAAAGCAAGATGAAGATGGTTGTTGAGAAGCGAGTTCTAGGGGGATAACTCGACAACTTCAGGGTTCTAGCATTCCTCCTCCTTGAGTGGCATAGGATATGCGGGTAGTTTTTTTATTAAGTGGGAACTGTTTTTTTCGTATTTGGTCTTTTTAGCAAAAGCAGAAGTTTGTTGATTTGGTTTGTTTATTTCTCTTATTGTTTTCGCTGATTCTCACTGTTAGACTATTATGTGCCATAGGCTATATGTTATGGGTGTTATTGTTAGGGCATCTCCAACGCAGCGGCAAAATGCCGCTGCATTGAACTGTTCATGCTCCAATCATGCCGCATTTGTTGCGGCATTTTGGCGCAGATGAACAGTGTGACGCCAAATATGGCGTCGCACTGTTCATTCGCCGTTTTACTGTTCACTTTTTAAACTTTTTTTAATATTTATTTTTTACCTCTTAAGTAATATAAAAGTAGATAAAAGTGAATAAACTGAGAATATTTTTTTTTGTGCAAAAAATGGTGCAATGGGTTGGAGATGTATTGCTGTTTGATGTGACTTTTGTACCATTTTGATGCAAAATTTGCACCATTTTGGTGCAATGGGTTGGAGATGGTCTTATATTGTTAAGACCATTGGTGGATGTGATGCTTCAAGTCTTCTTCACCTCTAGGTTCTAGTTTTCTTGTAGATTCTAGTTTTCATTGAGGTATGAGTTTTAAATGTCAAGTGCTCGACAAGATTAATCTCTATGCAGCAATAGCAGGTGACGTGTCTGTCCTTTAGAATTCTCTACATTACTATACTTCACTTTCTCATAAGATACTGATCAATTAGCTTGTTATCAATTGTTTGAGAAGTGAATGATGCTAAGCTTAATGGAGGTTCAAAATTCCATTGAGGCACGAGTTTTTGGGTAGTCCAAAGTTTATAATATTTGTCATTTCATAACCACCTGATTAAGAACTTCTGAGCTTGTTATTCTTTTTTTAGCCGTCAGTTGATTAAGAGGTGCATGATACTAATTCTTAATATGTTCTGTTGGCTGTATAGATTCCCCAATTTGTTTTGGAATTAGAGGACTTAGGTAAACGTCCAATGGTTGCTTGTACTCAGCCAAGGAGAGTCGCTACAATGTCGGGTTCTCATCGTGTAGCTGAGGAGATGGATGTCACAATAGGGGAAGAAGTCGGGTATAGCATCCGTTTTGAGGATTGCAGTAGCAACAAAACAATTCTCAAGTAAGCATCACTTTTGGATAAATTGCAATATCTTTTTTATATGATAGTGGCTAAGTGCTGATTCATTTGTTTGTTCAAATTGACACCAGGTACCTAACTGATGGTATGCTCTTAAGAGAGGCTATGGCTGACCCACTTCTTGAGAGATACAAGGTTATAATACTTGATGAAGCTCACGAGCGAACCTTAGCAACAGATGTCCTGTTTGGGCTTCTGAAAGAGGTTTTGAGAAATAGGCCTGATATGAAGTTAATTGTGATGAGTGCTACCCTTGAGGCTGAGAAATTTCAGGGATACTTCAATGGGGCACCATTGATGAAGGTGCCTGGAAGGCTGCACCCTGTGGAAATTTTCTATACCCAAGATCCAGAGAGAGATTACTTGGAAGCTGCCATCCGGACAGTTGTACAAATACACATGTGTGAGCCTCCAGGTGATATACTTGTTTTTCTTACTGGTGAGGAAGAGATAGAAGATGCATGCAAGAAGATCACGAAGGAAATCAATAATTTGGGAGATCAAGTTGGTCCCGTAAAAGTAGTTCCGTTGTACTCTACATTGCCTCCAGCAATGCAGCAGAAAATTTTTGACTCTGCCCCTCTTCCATTAAAAGAGGGTGGCCCTCCTGGGAGAAAGATTGTGGCTTCAACCAATATTGCAGAAACTTCACTTACAATTGATGGAATAGTATATGTTATTGATCCCGGGTTCTCTAAGCAAAAGGTTTATAACCCAAGGATTCGTGTGGAATCTTTACTGGTGTCTCCTATATCAAAGGCAAGTGCGCACCAGAGGTCAGGTCGTGCTGGTAGAACACAACCTGGAAAATGCTTTAGACTTTACACAGAGAGGAGTTTCAATAATGATCTGCAACCACAGACATATCCTGAGATTCTTCGGTCTAATTTGGCAAATACTGTTCTTACATTGAAGAAACTTGGCATCGATGATCTTGTCCATTTTGACTTCATGGATCCTCCAGCACCTGAGACTTTGATGCGTGCTTTGGAGGTCTTGAACTACCTGGGGGCACTGGATGATGAAGGAAACTTGACCAAGTTGGGTGAGATTATGAGTGAGTTTCCTCTCGACCCGCAGATGGCAAAAATGCTCGTTGTCAGTCCGGATTTCAATTGCTCCAATGAGATCCTTTCCATATCTGCAATGCTCTCAGGTAAGCGTTTACTTTTTCTAATCTCTCTTGTTGGTTCTATGGTTTTTAGGCTTTTGGAAATGGTGTCTATAGTCTTTTTTTTATTTTTCTAGAACTATTGGGACATGTGGTACATGCTCAACAGAATATGCATGTTGCCAACATGTGTGACCTTCGCCAGTCAATGTTACTTGAATTCTTCTACTTTGGTCAATACTGTTAGTGCATGTAAGATAGTGGATATGCTATCGCAGACCCTTTGATCATATTTCATTTGCTTTGGTTGTTAAATAATACCTGGCCTCAGTATGCAACACTTTGACCAATGTATCTGTATTCAAGTAACATAGACATCTGTAAACAGTATGGCTTAGGTTCTTGCTTGCCTGAATGCGAGCTGTTTAGTCTCATCTGCTATAGGCAACTGCTTCCTACAAAGGCTCCTCGAGCCATTGGTATAAAGTTTCAAAAAGTTTAGAGCAGATGCAGATAGTGGCAGTTTCTCAGTTATTTTCTTATTTAGCAGTGTCCTCTTGGCATCTATGCATCTGCTGACCTACAAATGGGCCTCCTCTGTGAAAAAAAATTTCTTTTCTCTAGTACCCAATTGCTTTCTCAGGCCTAGGGAAGCTCAGAAAGCTGCAGACGAAGCTAAAGCTCGATTTGGCCACATTGATGGGGATCACCTCACACTTCTCAACGTCTACCATGCGTACAAGCAAAACAGTAAGTTCCAGATTATGAACTATATCTCCTTTCTTATAGCTACCAACCAAATAGATTTTGTGCTCACAATCTTATTCTTATTTGACAGATGAAGATCCTAATTGGTGTTATGAGAATTTCATCAACCAAAGGACAATGAAGGCCGCTGATAATGTGAGAGGACAACTAGTCAGGATCATGGCCAGATTCAACCTCAAGCTATGCAGCACAGACTTCAATAGTCGAGACTATTATATCAACATCAGAAAGGCTATGTTGTCAGGATACTTCATGCAGGTAGCTCATCTTGAAAGAACCGGACACTACTTGACAGTAAAAGATAACCAGGTAAAACATAGTGAATTTAAGTACCACTATTTGCACTTCGTTTGTGGGTTTCTTTTGAGTATTTGTTGATTGCTTTTGCTTTGTGTAGGTGGTTCATCTCCATCCTTCAAACTGCCTTGATCATAAGCCTGAGTGGGTCATCTACAATGAATACGTGTTGACAAGCAGAAACTTCATTCGCACGGTGACAGACATCCGTGGAGAGTGGTAAGTTAAATGCTTTCTTACATCTATATTTACTGCAATCGCCATCAACATGCACATTTAGAATACTCCCCTTAAATCTTTATTTGAACTCCCTAATGCTTTTGTTCCGGGTAGAATCTGGTAGAACCCAGAAGTTGAAAAATCATATTCTTGTTGTGTAGTGTTTTTGGTATTGTTCAGACTTGCATTTGAATTGGTCATTGATCTTATGCATAAGTCTTAAAATTAATTCTTTTAGTGTTTCTGTCGGTACTTTCCCCAAGTATTTCTAATGTTCTTCTTTCCCAAGTGTGTGCCTCAAAAATTCATTATTGAATCCTTTTGTTCTTTGATCATAAAATTCGTTGGTCTTCTTCTGTTGAACTTTTGGATCCTCCAGCTCGTTGGCCTGCAGTTTCTTCTGGTGCTAATCCTCCAGGATTGAATCTTACACTGCCCTGATCCGTATCATGTAGAATTTGCATTTGTTCTTTTCTGATTATCAAATTCATTGGTCGTCTCCGGTCAAACTATTGGATCCTCAAGCTCATTGGCCTATAGTTTCTTCTTGTGCTAATCCTTGTCATGTAGAATTTGTATTTATAATATTTATTGTTTATGCAGGTTGATTGACATTGCCCCACACTACTATGATCTGAGCAATTTCCCATCATGCGAAGCAAAGAGAGTCCTCGAAAGGCTTTACAATAAACGAGAGAGGGAGAAGGGCGAAAGCAAGAGCAGGAGCCGGGCATAGTTACAATCCAGTGCTCGAGATATATATATTATAATTAAACCAAACTGAGAGCGTTTGAACCACAAACTGAGTCTCAACAGTTTTTGCAGTTTACCTGCAATATTTTTTCTAGTGTTCTGCATTCAGGCGATCATTTGGAATTTAGAGAGCGGTCAGAATGGCTCATCTTCAACGAACAGCCTTATTCCCATTTCTAATTTACCGCTATTTTTGGCTTTTTGTTAAGTCATCTAAGAATTTAACCGGATACTTGTAGTTTATGATTATGACTAGGGGTGCACTCGGTCCGGATACGGCTCGGACATGATGTCTATCATATCTATATCCGCTTACTCATCTTGGATATGAATACAGATATACCTCGGTAAGGAAATTTTCTATCCATATCCGTTAAAATTGGATACGGTTATGTATATATATGTGGATATATTAGTGGATATGCATGCAGATACAAAACGGCTATGAAAAAGTTAGATAGTATTGAGATAAACATAGTTTATGGGATACAAAAGAGTTTGTTATTATGTTCATTATAATTGAAAAGTTAAGATTAGATATCTTGATTATCAAAATTAATCACAAATCCATGATCTAAGAATCGAAACTATTGTAAGAGTATGACTAATATGTATTCCGATATTTCATATATGGATACATATGTTTCACTATTAAACCATATCTGTAACCATATTTTATCGGTTATAGATTTGAGTAATTATATATGTATCCTAACGGATTCGTAATATATTCTAACGGATATGATTATGAATATTTCCTCGGATATGGATATGATTTAGCACCCCTAATTATGACTTATTTGTTTTTATGAAACTTTTGACTACCTGTTGGAGACACTTTCAAATCTGATCTCGTGAGTTTAACCGGTGAGATGTGAATCATATTTCCATGGTATGTTTTTGCCCCTTTCATATTCTTAGCTCTATCTGAATTTTTTTTTGTTACTCGATCCTTTTCCTGTTACGCATTTGAAGATGCGTAGCGGTTCTCCTGCGTTGCTTGTTAAGAGAGGACAAAATTGCGTGGGTTTTAAGTAAATACGATTTATTGAATTATTGTTAACTTTATTATTATTATTATTTTGATGAAATAGTTAATTTGGTAGAAATGCCGCTCGGTTGATAAGAATGCTGCTCGCTTGATAAGTTACTGATTGCCTTATGTTCGTGATGTACGTCACAAGATATACGTCACATGTCTCGTACCTTATTTATGTATGAACTTTAAAATGTATCGGTCATTAATTGCCTAATGTCTGGCTTTGATGTACATTGATGTATTAAGATTGCATTAATACATCTTTCTTCATTGTGGCATCATCAATCTTCATAATATCCGGGCATTTCTTATATCAAAACACAAGAAACGTAATTCTTTCAGATTGCATTTATCCCTCTATTATTTTGTATGCTAAATCAATTGGCGTTGGTGATATGAATAACAAGCGATGGTTTTTGTTTTTAGTATCATCATCTTCATCATCATTATTCTTTACTAGAAATTTGAGCAGATGCATACGTGATATCAAGCCGTATACTTTTTGCATTGTTTTAGTTCTTAAAATTGTCTCATTATTTCCTTATGTTTTAGTACAATCGTAGCATAAATATATGCATACACCCTTGTTTTTTTAAATTACATATATTTACTTTCTCTTGAAAATTCCACCAATGCTTTCTATATTTTTATTATAATATAATATTTAATTATGGAGGTTTCAATTTTATTTCTTGACGTTGAAATGACGTAGAATGTTGTACAACGAAAAAGAAAAGAAAGAAATAACTACTCTTTGTAAATTAACTGCTCTTTGTAAATTACAATTCTATCATTTAGAATGGAAATATGGATATGTCCTAAATTCATTCAACTTTGGATAGGCATTACTTGTTTTTTTTAATATATAGTACTATAGATATTTATCAATTGACTTGTTAATATCCTCTCACTCTCAAATTCCCTACTTTAATACATAACGGTTACACGAAAAAAATATGAACCAAAATGATTAGATAATTAGGAATTACCGGAACACTTAAATAAATAAAAACATAACATAACACCCTCGGTTTATTTTTTTAAGCAAGAAAGTATCCCATGGAGTCCGGTCTACGTCGTTAAATGTGCAAGCGCCCAAGGGATACCAACCTTAGGGCATCTCCAAAGTAGCGGCAAAATGCCTCTGTGTTGAACTGTTCATGCTCCAATCATGCCGCATTTGCTGCGGTATTTTGGTGCAAATGAATAGTACGATGTCAAATATGGAGTCGTACTATTCATCCGTGGTATTACTGTTCACTTTTTAATTTTTTTTAATATTTATTTTTTACATCTTAATTAATATAAAAGTAGATAAAAAGGAATAAACTAATAATATTTTTTTTTAGTGCAAAAAATGGTGCAATGGGTTGGAGATGTATTACTGTTTGATGTGACTTTTGTACCATTTTAATGCAAAATTTGCACCATTTTGGTGCAATGGGTTGGAGATGGTCTTAGAGCTCTTATTTGCTAATTTCAAGTAGTACAGTGAATGTAAGGTTGAGATCCGTTAGCCCGTTAGTGAGGCTGGTCACGTCACAGGGCCTCACAGCGTTCTTGACTTCTATTTCATCGAACGCTTTCTTGACGGAGCTGTGGTCTTTGAGATCAGTGCGTGTAGTCGTGTGTAGTGCCGTGTTGAGCGCGGATCCAACAAACGGGCCGGGTTAGAATTCGAACCGGATCGGATGGGCGATGACACGGACTTGGCGGTGAGTTTCGGGTCGGGTAACGAGGGGAGGACAGCGGTCTTACGTTATGCATGATGTATAAAGCATGAAACATATGTGACGCACGCAGCTTCTTATATGAACTTTAAAATGTCATATAAAAACATACCTTTATATTTCTAGGGATTCTTTTTCCATTGAGCTCTTATTTTCAGTTTTATTGTTGTTATCATACATTCATACATTTCTTGCTTTCTTGTAATTCATGTGACTGTAAGATGTTGGATGGAACTAATATGTAATTAAGAGTCTCCTTTTAGGGGTCGTTTGGATTTACAGCTAGTGAAGGGAAGGTAATGGAACATATGATAAGTTAAGTAAAACGAATGTAAGGAAATACGTAGAACCTGTTTGGGAAATTAGTAAGGGGAATCAATAGGAATTTATTTCACCTTGTTTGGAAAGTCTACTAAATAAAGGGAATGTAGCAGAATATATGTAGATGTACATAGATACCTTACATGTTATTTCATCTATTTGAATCTCATTTTGATATAGGGGGTAAAATTATCTTTGTATAATATTCTCTTCTTTTAAGAATTATATTCTGATAATTTCCCTTCATTACACCCTAATTTGATGGAGAACAAAATCTTAAAGTTTTTCTTCTCCGTTACTCTGAACTTTTCTCTCATTAACTACTTCAAAAGACTTCCCAAATAAGGATAACGTGTCTCCTATCGTACCTTTTCTCACATTACCCCCTTATCTAAACAAGCCCTTACTGTTGAATTTTGGCCATTCCTTTGTTTAGGCTATCGTATTTCATATTCAGTCCGCAAAATACTTAATATTTGATTGTCTCAAGAGCTATGTATGAGTTTGGGAAAAAGCGTGAGCACAGTTACTCAATGATGGTATCAGTATCAACATCTTAGGAGTGGTGAACTTTCTCTGAAGCGCTCGATCTTGATGTCAGTGGTGGAGTCAGGTTTTTGTTTTAGTGGTGTCTATTTACTAATTATTTATCTACATTGCCATGATCAAAATTTTATCCTTTTTAGTGGCTCCATGCCCTAATCATAGTGGCATCCTCCATGTAGTACATGCAAGTTATAAAAGATGTTATGACAAACTCCTCAGGACAAGCTAATATCAATCACACAAGAGCACGAAAAATATCAAGAACATATGAACACAAAAATATACGTAGTTCGGCTTGTAGTCTATGTCCACAGTAGAATGAGGAGAAAAGTTTTACTAATTATAGTGAGGAATACAAAGTGGAATCTCTCAATCGCTCAATCTTAAATCACACTCCAAAAACCTTATACAACTCTCAACTAAAAGAACAAAAGAGAAGAATATCAAATAGGCTTCACAAAAAAACTCTCTCTTCTTGATTGGTGATCTGACGATTGATGAACCTAATTGACTTGAAAGACTATTCTTATATATAGCCTTGAAGATCCCAACTCTTTGCTGTCTAAGGAATAAGAGTTCTAATAGGAATAGAAGTTCACATGTCCTAAAACCCAATAAGAATCCAAGTAGAAATAAACCTCTAATATGATTGGTTGTGCAAAGTCTAATGTAAGCAGGACTCTTGATCAGAACAAACTAAGCCATAAAAGGAGCTCCCGAAGCTATATGGATTTGAGTATTTGAGGCAACCTATAACAAATCTCCACCTTGACTCAAATGCGTAGAAAAATCCTTCACTCCAAAAGACTAGCTTACTCCACCTTCTCCAATAGCCCTGCAGGGCATCAAGTACGACACATATCGATCAAGTCCAAGCCCGGATTGAACTTACCACCTGAATGAGGCCTCCTCAACAAATCGACTGAATTGTCTGCACGACGACAGTAACGCTTAGCGAAGTCATCACCTGAAGTAGCTCTGAATAGCTGAAGGACACAAAATTGTCAACCAACAATGCATAAGCTATCGTATCTTCATATCTTCGTGGTGGTCGAATATCTCGTCTAGACCGATCTCTAGCAATAGTATATTCCTGCTCTTCCTGCAGCTACTGAGGTGTTTCATCTACTAGAACGGGATCTGGTTGTTGAACTCTAGTAGTCTTATCCTACTGAAGAACTGAATCACGAATTTCTAACTGTACCTTATGTCCTGTAGTGCGAGCCTTATCAACCGAAACTGGTGACTGTTTCTGATGGAACATAACAGACTCATCAAAAGTAACATCACGTCTGATAATAATCTTAGGAGACTTCGGATCAGGACACTACAACCTAAAACCCTTAACACCTGATGCATAACCTAGGAATATACACTTCTTCGCTCGCGGCTCAAGTTTTTCTTGACTAACATGTGCATATTTAGGGCAATCAAATATTCTAAGATTAGAATAATCTGCAGGCTTACCGGACCAAATCTCCTCTAGAGTTTTATAACTAATAGCAGTAGATGATAACCGATTCACTAAATAACAAGCCATATTCACTGCTTCCGCCCAGTATTCCTTGTCTAAACCTATATTGAACATCGTACAACAAGCTTTCTCCAATAGGATTATGTTCATACGTTCTAGCACTCCATTATGTTGCAGTGTGCAAGAGACTGTATGATGCCTAACGATTC